AAAAAAAAAAAAAAAAAAAGTCTATTTGAAATGTTCAGCATGATACCTGGCACACAGTATAAGTGCATAATTAATTATAATCATCATCTTTATTAATTTGTCAGCATGCATATAGTACTGGAGGCTTAAAAATTTTTTTCATTTATATAGATTTCCCTGGATCTGTGCAGTCCACATTGATAATTTTTAATGGCAACTGAATATTACATCATGACCTTTCCTCAGTTGTGTGACGTGGCTTATTATTTTTCACAAATATTGTTAGAGGCAACAATTGTGGAGAGGAGGCCACACAGGTGTGGTCAATATTATGAGATTCCTCGGAAGGGAAGATATCACCTTATGTACCATTGAGAGTGTGTGGGCTTGTTACTGGCCCACTTAAGATGACTGGATAAGAAAGTATTGTGCCCAATAGTTACTGGATGGACTGTGGAATAGTGAAGAGCTGTTAAAAAACAAAATAGGTTCTAGGCCTTAGATAACACAACAAGAAAAGGTACTTAAAAGCCTTTAAAACAGTTCACATTTCTCAGGATCAATTTTAGTACAGTGATCAAGAGGAGCAGTGAACTAATGCTTAACCTGTATATTTTTTATAACAATCACTATGTAAAAGTAGATGTTACATTGGCCATTGGTCATGTTGGTTTTGCATTTTTAGAAAAATACACTGAATAGTAGGAGTTGTCTTTACACACACAATTTTTCTGAAGTGTTTTTATATAACTGGGTAGTTACTAACCTTTTCTTTCTGTAAGTTGAGATGGCAAGTGCACATTAGAATTATGAATACTTGGCCAGGCATGGATGGTGGCTTACGCCTGTAATCCCACCACTTTGGAAAGCTGAGCAGATTGTTTGAGCCCAGGAGTTTGAGACCAGCCTGGGCAATATGATGAAACCCCATCTCTACAAAATTAGAAAAAATTAGCTGGGCTTGGTGGCATCAACCTGTGGTCCCAGCTACTTGGGAGGCTGAGGTGGAAGGATTGCTTGTGCCTGGGAGGCAGAGGTTGCAGTGAGCCGAGATCATGGCAGCGCCCTTCGGCCTGGGTGACAGAGCGAGACCCTATCTCAAAAAAAAAAAAAGATTGCCAGGAAGCGTATTCTTGCCCAGTCACTTAGTACGCTACTTTGCTAGTGAGATCGTAGAAGCCGGATAGATGTAAATATATATATTTGTGCTATATATTTTTTACTTGTTTTTTAGGGGCCAGGATATATTCTTACTTAAAGCCCAGATATAAGTTAAATTTTAGAGAATAAGTGCCAGCTTGTTCCTTTCCATTTCTTTATTGTCATGTGAAAACAATCAGTTTCAAAGCAATCACCATTTCCACCCTCACTAATAACCCTCCCTCTGGTTTATTTTTTGCAGGAGGTATATCGAATTCCAAAGAAAAGTCAAACTGAGAAGGAGAACACAAGTAGGTATTCAGAGATACTCTGTGTTGATGGCTTTACAAATATTCTTTTGTTATGTGCAGAGGTAACTGATAAGAACTTGAGTGTTTTTGTTTTTGAAACTAGAGAATATATAACTGGGCAAATGAAATATTTGGTGTAAAAGTTTGGAAACTTGTGCTTTTATTCTTAATGACGTTTTGCTGAAGGAACTGTCTCTTACACTGTTTTGTTGTCACTTCCTTGAACTCAGTCTTTACTAGTTTTTTTTTCCTATTCGTTTGTCCTCTAGAGCAGACATTCTTTATTTTTTTATTTAGTCTTTTTTTCTTTTATTATTGTGATTTTGATTTTTTTTTTCCTTCACACCAGATAGAGCAGACATTCTTAAATCTATACTTCTAGATGTCTTTGGGAGGGTCTTTACCTCAAGATGTTTATATGCAGCTGGGCAGGGTGGCTCACACCTGTAATCCAAGCACTTTGGGAAGTTGAAGCAGGTGGATTGCTTGAGCCCAAGAGTTCGAGACCAGCCTGGGCAACATGGTGATACCCTGTCTCTACAAAAAATACGAAAATATTAGCCAGGTATAGTGGCATGTTCCTGTAATCCTAATTACCAGGAGGTTGAGGTAAGAGGATCACCTGAGCCTAGGAAATTGAGGCTGCAGTGAGCCGTGATCATGCCACTGTACTCCAGCCTGAGCAACAAAGTGAGGCCCTGTCTCCAAAAGGAAAAAAGATGTTTACGTGTAAAATTCTGTATGTACACAGTTGACCCTTGAACAACACAGGGGATACAGATACTGACCCTGTGCAGTCAAAATTCCACATAACTTTTAACTCCCCATATTTTATATGTTGTGTGTATTGTGTACTATATTCTTAAAGTAAGCTAGATAAAAATGTTATTAAGAAAATCATAAGAGGAAATATATTTACTCTTCATTAAGTGGAAATAGATCATCATAAAGGTCTTCATCCTTATCTTCACCTTGAGCAGACTGAGGAGGAAGACGAGGGATTAGTCTTGCTGTCTTGGGTGGCACAGGCAGAAAAAAATCCACATATAAGTGGACTTTCATGCAGTTCAAACTCATGTTGTTCAAGGATTGAGTGTATTTACTTTTCTGAGGCAAGTTCAAAACTTTGATCAGATTCTCAGTCACCCCTGAAAAGGTTTGAATCATTGTTTCAGAATGGATAGCAGGGAGGCCATGGGAGTCTGGTTTCTGGACTTTACCACTTAGTTACATTTCCAACAAACTTATTTATTGATTTGTTTTTTAGAGACAGTGTCTTACTCTGTCATGCAGGCTGAAGCACGGTGACACCATCGTAGTTCTCACTGCAGCCTCGAACACCTGGGCTCAGGCAATCCTCTTGCCTCAGCCTCTTGAGTAGCTGAGACTATAGGTGTGTGCCACCATGCCTGGTGTAGAGACAGAGTCTTGCTATGTTACCCAGGCTAGGCTTGAACTCCTGTCCTTAAGTGCTTCTCCTGTTTTAGCCTCCCAAAGTGCTGGGATCACAGATGTAAGCCACTATGCCCAGCCTTAAGAATTTCTTTCCTTTCCTCCAGCAAACTTACTTAGAGATTCAAGGAATGGGATCACTTATTGTGGTTATTGATTTCATGAGTACCTCCACCACTGACCCACTATAAATAGAATGAAGAAGCCAGTGTGACAATTTTTTTTTTGTCTTTTTATTTTTGGTGTGCATAACTTTTTATATAATCTTAGTCTTTTTGGTTAAAGACCTGTGAGATATCCTTTGCACCACTGTTTATCTTTCGAGTATTTTTAGTTCCACTCTCTGGTTTAGTCTCTTCATAGCTGCACATTCTACCTAAGGCTGCAAAGAACTCTTCCTATAAAAAAGAAGGCAGGACTGGGCAATAGTGGTTGGCAAAACCAGTGGCACCACTATAGGATTGATTATCAGAAGCTAACTTTCTGGGATCACTGAGTTAAAACTATTAGTAGCAGCACAAGCAAAGCTTAAATACCTATGGGCATTTCTCCACAATATTTTGCATCCATGAGATGCAGAGGATGATCTGTAATGAACAATTATATCTTTTCAGAGAGTAGCCTCTTTTCTGCCGACCTTAGTCTCTCTTTCACATGTGGAACCCTCCATCTTAGTCTCAGGTTTCTAGAATAAGAAAATGCTTATAATATATAATGTTTATAATTATATA